CATGTTGACGAGTGTCGACAGCCGAAATCAACAATACAACAATCGAATATTATTGCTCAACAACGTTCGACAGTCAAATGATCAATAATAGAATGTATTTGATAGAATGAGAATTTGACTTTAATTGTTGAGTGAAATTGATGGGAAATTAGCAAAAGAGAACAATTTTGGTGATAAAAGCTGTGAGAGTGATTGTAACAGCAAGAAAAAGAATGAAAACCTTGTCATGCCCTTACAAGCTAATGATACTCAGAAAGTGGGAGAATGAAGAGTGTTGAGCCATCAACAAATCGCATTTACATACCCGAGTTAAAAAACACCATCACAATGACGTTCTATCATAGCATAGCAACTGCACAAAACACAAATTTCCCGACCCTTCCTTCCATTACCCATTCATACCTTCAAATCACTCAAAATGGATGACATTACCCACTACGAGAACCACTATCTTAAACACTGAAGCAATATGAGTCAGTTTGATTGCACTCACGGCTCATTATTTAGGCTCAGAGAATATTAAAATCAGTATTTTGTCCAGCACGATATCTGCTCAAAAGACTTCCTTCACAATATTACTCAATCAACACATACTTAATGACAGGTACCAGCTGACATCATTCAAAGTGTTATTTTAAAACAGTTACGGCACCCGATTACAACGGTTCAGATTATGTTTGTTCTGTGTCTCACTCAATGAAATTGATGACCGAACTGGATTGTTGTTTGAACTAATTCAAACGCATACAACGTTCTTTTCAGCAAACACTCTCAAGGTTCCCGACTATAGATTTTTAGCAGATCGAGTGTTCGAGGTTGTTAAAAAGTTTGAAGAGGAAGTTGCCAAGATTCCAGAAAAGCAGCTCAAGGATTTCATCATACAACCGGTATGCACACTTTCCGAATGGCTACCTCCAGTCAATTCTTCTAAAATCGCTCTTTAATTCTATTTAGTAGTTTACCTCCTATAAGTATCAGTGCAAAAACGTGAACAAATTGTCTTTTTCCCTCAGTTTTCCACATGGAATACTCTTCTGGTCTGCGCAAATTTGAATGATCGTTGCAAATTTCAGGAAGTAAAGAAACCGGCAGCAGCTGGAGATGCAGCAGGTAAGAATCAAGAGGCTGGAAATAAAGCAGCTGCAAAACCCGCTGCGGGAGCAGGAGACAATCAAGCGGCCAAAAAATAAATTTCTTAAAATTTGTGAATTGTTGAAAAGGATCGATTCGAGTAGTCATTGGCAAACTGTAAACTCATGCGTTCACATGCTTCACCAGCCTTAGTTCCCAGTCTCATCTGCTTGAATCAGGCCTGAGACGAATGAGATGGGTGAATGTGTGAGCTCTACGGTTGCAGTTATCTGTTTCCATATTATAGTATGCTTTGGTATTTGCATCTAACGTCACAGTCGTTTATTATTTGAAAATGCAAATTTATTTTCATTGAAATTCATTATCGTTAAGAAATGATTCATCAAATTTTCAAATTTCGTTCGTCAGAAATTTATAAATGAATCATTTCATCCGCATTGCATCAAATCCGAATTGTCATATTAACGTGATATTAGTGCCTATTGATAGCGTTTGCTGTGCTGTTAAAGTTTCACTGTACTGCGTCAAACATCAAAAGGGTATAGTGTCATAAAATGTACTTTTATTCAACAAATCACACAAGAAAGCAGCACATTTCGGGATCATGCCAGAGAACACTGAATTGAATAAAATGAGAACGGGTTCGAAATTTTTATTAGTCAAGTAACTTTACATTTGAATCAGATGAGTGTTATCCCAATTATGCAGCACTTCATGATTGCATAAAATAGCCACTGTGCAAAATTGCTAAATGGCATTGCTGACTCTTGTTCAAATACTTTCATGTGTACGTACCTAAAGTGTCATCGGCGAAATGCTACTGAATTAGGGTGTGTATACGGTCCGTACTGAATGACTGATGGTATGATCGAGTGTGTTTGTTGATTGAATAACTTATCGACTGTACACAGAAATATTTTCGCTGAAAATGGCACATTCTGTGTCGCATAAGTATGTGAAGGGCAGTAAGTTTGAATACGTAATTAGGCTTATTTCAAATAAAATTCAGATTTCACATTCAGATCACTCATGTTTATGTGTATTCAATCATTGAACAATGAATTCGATTGTTCGATGTGTTAATTTTTGTGAATAATCATAAATGATGGTCTAATTGAAAAGCGAGCCCAAATCCGAGCGAGAGGCGTCCTCGATTCGAATCGGGTACGCCCTTGCATACATTATCGTCTTGTTGACAATCGAATGTAAAGCGTGTCAGCGAATCTTCACACATAATCCGCAATATGCTCTTTATCATCGCAGATTCACTCTCGTAAAGCCTCTATCCACCAATCTGTTTCTTTTCAACTTATTCTTTCCTGGCTATCGAAGCCAATTAGAAAGCGCATACTCAATTGTGTCATGTGTTCGATAGAGAATCTGTTTCATTAGTCTACATTTTCAAATAACCAAATGAATGTAGTAAAACAATGATTCATTTAAACCAATTGTCCACGTTTTATCTTCCTTATTTTTCGACCACGGGCCAGACTGTCTCTTTGAAATTGTTTGGTCGCATANNNTATGTTTGATTTTATGATTCATTGCTAAACATTAGTACGTAATGATTCATTGAATTGATCCAATTCACAGCGCTAAAAATGCTTTTTCTCACAATCTACCTGAAAAGGCATAAAACGCTTGGTAAGAAACGTGTATTTGAGATTTATCGTAATAATAATGTCGTTAATAATAGTAATGAATATAACAATAGTATTATTATTACTAACAGGTTGTAGCATTGAAAGAATTGCAATAAAATATTGAAAGGTAAATTGAATGAAAATAATTTTGAAACGGTGATTGAGAATAAGAGTTATGTGCTGTAAGTCATCATAAATGATTGATGCATGCATTCATTATCCGTCCAAATTTGTCATTCATCCCAATGCCCTTTCAAGAACACCTATCATCTATCTCAGTCTCAGTGTCTCATAATCAGGGCTAGAATGATAAAACTTACTACTCATAACAAGTAACTTACTCGTTACCATTCATGCTGTCTGATCAGTATGTTACTACTACTACTACTACTACTACTACTACTATTATAATCATCATGTTATTATTAATACTACATCTATGCATCCTGCACTACTTGTTCATTCAAGTGCGAAACCTGTATCGATTTTGTCCGTGCAATTGAAATGCTGTAACATTATGCATGTTTACATCTACCAGTGCGCCTTAGATTGTATATTTGTGGTTTGATGGTGTGTTTAGAACGCACTGAAGTGAATGACTGATTTATGTATTGTCAAGAATTGATAGGCAAATAGTGAATACATTGTAATCGTAGGTGAATGTGCTAAAATGCCGATGAATTAATGAAAAATGCATGTTTACATGCCACTTTTATAGCTATTGTACTCATCTTCAACCATGACGATTGAATTAGATCGAAATGAATTTTGATTTTTCAAGAATACACATTTCCCTTACCCGCTGAACCAATTCAACTGGTTTATCGCTCATGTTAGCTTGCTTCAAAAATTATTTCGTTTTGTTAAGAGATGAACGAAGAAAGTGAGTTGAAAACGAATTTGCTGAGGAATGAAACTAGGGAAATGAACTGAGCGCATTGAATCACGTCAATTAGGATTTTCTTGACAAGAAACGCCGCAAAAATATGGACAATATAAGTCAGAGATTTGGACATAAATCTACTCTCAAGTGAGAATTCAAACTAGTTAAAGGCTTTTCCGGCTGGAACACTCAAGCATAGCGTTGGAGTTGCGAGCAGAGTTATTAACCAACTGAACGAATGGATGATTGATAAATATATCTCTTCGATGGATTTTTGCACATGAAAAATTCAAATTTTCTCTTTTGCTCGTCGATTGTGATTTGGATTGCCAACAATGTTCGTGTTTCATTTACTATCATCCATAGTTGGGCGTTGTTCAAACAAAAAAGTGAAACAATCGAAAAATCTGTAATTCATTTCATTTTATCATTCAATCTCTCACGCATGTTTTCGTTGGACACTGAAGAACGACCTCCTTCAAGTCTAGAATAATGGACAATTGTTGTAATCTGTTTTGCCTTCTTTGAGGCTGCACTATTGTTTCGACGGTCGAAAACGACTGTGTGGAAAGGATCACGATGTGCAATCCATGCAGACTTCTTGTCAGTTGAATCTTGTTTAGAAGTTTCGATTAGATCGTTTCTTCCACCGATTGGTTTACTTTTTTTTCGAATTCATTTCTAAAAACTGACCCAAAACCTTCACCATTTGCCACTACATCCCCGACTTAACTTCGCTTTCATCTCAACCTTCTCATGAATATCTTCTATCTGCTGAATTATTGTCTCCATTTGATTTTTTTTTAATGAATTTGATTCTGATGCATTTTATCGATGATAAATATCTCAATGATTCGTTGTCATAAAATGGTTTTCTTTATGAATGACGGCGCAATTCGATTGCTTCATGAAATGGTCGATTCATATAACATTCAATCATTTTGTTCTCCAAAGCAAACAATTCGTTGTGATTTTTTGAAGAGTGATTCATTTGGGGTTGATATGGCAGCATTTCATTGCTTAATGCAGTGCAGCATGTTTTCGCTTTCGTAACAGTTCGTCATAAATGTTACGCTGAAATTTTTGCCGGCCGCATCCTGACAAATGTCTTCGTGCAACTCGTTGAAAATTACAAAAAAAAAAGGCTTGTAAACTGAATAGACATAAAAAGAATTACATTTGTACCAGTTCGTATATTATCGTTGATGTGTTTGAGGATGGTCCGTTGAGACAAATACGATGCGGTTTATTATGAAGTACGTTAAAACCAAC